AGTTGTAAATGAGCTAGCACTGCAGGTACATTTGAACTAATAAAACAGACGATTTCACTGAAAACTTAACACCTCACACCACTGCTGTCTGCCCAGTCAGGAAACCATTAGCATCCTGTCACCAACTCCCCAAGCACATCAGTGACATGAATTTTAAAAACAAGCAACCCAGGGGCAGGGGCAAGGCAAGCCAGGTTTCCTCCCTTCCAGCGCCGCCCTGCGGCCCAGGCAGCCAGGCTGGAGAGAAAACAGGGAACACAAAGAAAACTCTGAAAAGCGGGCAAAAATTTCAGTCAACACTTGAACACCTTACGGAACACCTTTTCCAAATACACAGCTGGTAAACGGGGGTCCAGGAAGCAGTCATTAAACGCCCAACCACACCCATTTAATGATGGCACAGCATTGTGTTCTAATAAGAAAAGAAACATCAACTTTCTCAAAATGAGAAAACAAAGCTGGGCTTTTCATTACTCTGGGTCAGGGTCTCCATTGAGGATATGCCGAAAGCTGAGAAGCTACAGGTTAGGGGCTCCGCTTCTGGACTTGGCAGCTCACGGCCAGCCTGAGCGAGGCCACCCTGTGGGGGTTCCCTAGTGCACTGTGTGTTCATGGGCTACGGGCCTCAAAGCTCCTGACCCTGGAAAGCCCTGGGCTGAAGAAACGTGCAGTAAGACCTTGGGACAGGAGTTTAATAGTCTTCCTGTAACATCAAACAGACTAGAATCAGATTTCATCTCACTAAATGAAATCAGGTTTCATTTAGTTCTGTGGCAAAAACACAATCATCTTAAAAAACCTTTTTTGGAGGGGTGGAGGTGTGGTGATCAAACCCAGGGCCCCACCCCTGCCAAGCAAGCCCTGTACCCCTGAGCCCATGCCTTCTAACAGATTTTTAGATATGCAGCACAGTTTTGCCAGCTGCAGGTACAGTGCTGTATGCCACATGCCCTAACTCAGCATCTTTGCATGAAGAGGGCTAAGTGCCCACCCACTAGCAGCTTCCCACCTTACCCCTTCTTGCTCCGGCGGCCATGGACTCCGTGCCCTGCTAATCTTAGATACTTCCCGACACCGAGTGCATTGTGGGTGTCCGTCCCTCAGTGACGGGCTCATGTCACTTAGCATGATGTCCTCAAGGTTCATCCACACTGTGGTTCACTGCAGGACCTCATTTTTTATTTTTTTAACTTTTTTTGTTTTTCTTGAAGCAGGATTTTGCTCCGCAGTTCAGTCTGGCCTTGAACTCACTCTGTAGCCCACGCTGGCCTGAAACTCGCAACAACCTTACTGCTTCAGCCTCATGATTGCTGGGATTACAGGTGTGTGCCACCATGCCTGGCTGACAATTCTAGTTTTAATCTTGAGGGGAACTGCCAAACTGTTTTCCACTGTGACCAGTTTACATTCCCACTAAGGATCACTTCTCTCCACATCCTCGCTGATGCTTATCTTTTTGTTTTTTGCTATTGTTTTGTATTTATTTTTCAGTTCTGACAACAGCCAGTTCTGACAACAGCCATTCTATCAAGTATGAGGTGACAGGTCACTGATTTCAATTTGTAGTCCACATGATTATTTATACTGCTTAACTTTTCATGTCTCTCCTGGCAGTTTTTGTTTTTGTTTTCTTTGTACTGAAAATCAGACTCATGGCCTCACACTCACCAGGCAGACACTGTGCCACTGAGCTATACCCTTGGCCTCTGCTGGTAATTTTTATGTGGATTTTTTTAATTGTATTTTCCAGTCCTTTGCCCAATTTTTAACAATTGAATTATTTGTTTTTTCTGATACTGAGTCACTGAATTACCTTTTTATTGTCTTTCTTGTTGTTACAGAAGACCAAACTGAAGGCCTCAGGCTTGCTAGACAGGTATTCTGCACTGAGCTGCCTTCCCACCCACTGCCACTGCTTGATACTGAGGACCTGATTTCTGCCCTGGAGGTGATCCTGCCTGTTTGTCCACCTGGTTCAAATCCCATACATTAGCAGTCTACCGCTACTCAGAAATACTCTGCGGAAGAAGGGCAGAGAAAATGTTCGTAGAAAGGTGAGACACAATGGAGTCAGCTGTGCCCCTGGCAGTGCTCGTCCTTAGTGTGTTTGTTCATTTACTCGGTTGGAAAACTCTAAATATTGACTGTGCGTCAGAGTGGCAGGAAGTCCTGCCCCCTACAGTGCACTCTTGTTCCCATAGTGCCTGGGACACTGTCCGAGTGGGTGTAGGGCAAGAGTGCATGAAGATACCCCGGGAGTCTTTCCTTCTGCATGGGGGAAAGGGCAAGTTGGGGACTAAGTGAGGTTTATCTGGACAGGAAGAAATAGCAGTAACCGCATCCCAACAGAATGGAGTACCACGAGGCCATTCTGGACTATGTAGTGAGACCTTGTCTCAAAAAAATGAGTTGGAAAAGAAACAGCAGTATATGGACAAACTCAAATTTATTCAGATCAGGTATACTGCTCAGGATTAGATAAAACTCTATTCAGTGTCAAAGACTCAACTCAAAAGGCTAATGCAGGACCTCTGTTCAGAAATCAGTAAGAATTAGAGGGCTGGGGACATAGCTCAGAGCCAGAGAGCTCGTCTAATGTTCATGAGGCCTGGGATTCCATCCCCATTACTGTAGTAAGATTTAAAATAAAAAGATAACTGTGAAGATGGCAGAAAGAGTCAATCTGAGTGTGGGTTACACCAGTCTCTCATCCAGGAACTCGGCCTTCATAAAACAGTGGAAGAAAAATTTGAAGTGCTTGTGTCTATCTTTTGCTACTACAGGGAAAAGTCCTCCATTTTAAAAATGGCGGCCGTGACATCTTTCATCTGTGGTGGGTCTGGGCAGGGAGCTCCATCTCTCTCAGAGACTCTAGAACGTGGCATTACCAGCTCCCCGTGGAGATGGTGAAACCAAAGTTTAGAGCAGTAGAGCAGTCCTGAGGGGAAAAGTGACATGAGCTATCACACTGTGACCTCTGAGAGGAGTACGGGTCTGAGGTGGAGGGAGAACAGAGCCTCATAGCTGCGTCTCAATCCAAACACAGCAGTGAGAAGGAACCCGATGAACTTTGTGAGAAATTGTGCATTAATGTAACATGCACACTACAAGAGTACTGAATCTGTTTTAAAAGAAGTTATTAAATGTTCACAACTGGTTTTTTAAACAGGTTTTTAAAACATGTTCACAACCTACAGGAATTTCTAAGCTCTCCTTGCAAATTTCCACTTAATTGTTTCTGGTTTTTAAAACAGGTTCTTTTCTTTCTCTCTCTTTCTCTCTTTCTTTCTTTCTTTCTTTCTTTCTTTCTTTCTTTCTTTCTTTCTTTCTTTCTTTCTTTTTTCCTTTTCTTTTCTAACAGGGTCTCACTGTGTATTCCAGGCTGGCCTGGAACTCACTATGTAGCCCAGGCTGGCCTCAACCTTGGGGCAACCCCTGCTTCAGCCTCCCAAGTGTCAGGGTTACAGGTGTGCGCCCCCCCCCCCCCCCGCAATAGTTTCTGGAGACCAAGGATGACGAAAACGTCTCAGGCTCACAAGTGCCCCCACCCACATCATCAGGTATCTCTGGAGAAGCAATCCACAGCTTCCATGAAATCCACTTTTCCCACTTAGTATTGTAACAGAGTGTTAGCTCAATAGCAGTCACCACAGAATCTAAAATTCTCTGAGCCCTTCTATGTGCGTATATTGTTGCCAGTTTGAACAGGTCGCCACTCTGACACTTCGCTGCAAGTATTTGGTGGCACATTTGGGTCTCCCCACCGTGCCTCTGGCCCTTGGTCTTGGCTGTATTCACACCAGCTTCTAGCTGGGAGCTCTGTGATTAATAACACTGCCAGCAATCCTATTTAAAAACTATTCCTACTTCATGTCTTTTTTCTCCTCCTCTCTCATTTTTCTCAGATCCTTATTTTTCTCCTCAGCAGAAATTACCTGCTGGAAGAGTTTCTCCTCTACTCTGAAACCTGACAACTTTATCCCAGTGTTTTGTCTTGGGGAGCCCTTGCTGAGCAGAGAATGGGGCAGCCCCTGTTCGAAGTCAGCATGTGACTGGCCAGACAGGTCTTACACAGGCTCGTCATCTGTCAGTGTCCTCTGCTCTCTGCGTAGCCTCCCACCACAATCCACAGCTCTGAGGCAGAAGCCAGGAGGGCAGAGCCCACAAAGCCCCGGCACTGGGCTTCCCTCATCTGGCTGTGCGTGGATATGCCCACACAAGTTGTGTTGTCAAGATGAAGCTGCCAGCCCCTTACGACTTTGTTTATTATTTATCCAGTCTCAGGGCTCCGTGTGGTAGCCCTGTCTCGTCAATATCTCACTCAGGTGGAGCGTGGGCAGCCTGGGCCGGCAGCCAGGCTCCCCCGTGACTGCTGCTCACCTAAATGAGCGAACATTTGCTCTGTACAGATCCAGGCTCTACAATGCAAGAAGCCACTGTGACAGCGGAGATGCCGCCGGAATCCTAACAAAGCTCCTTCTAACTTGTGCTCAGGCAAGTGGAACCAGCTCCTAAGTGGAATGCCAGGGGTGTCGGTCCAGGGACCATGGCAGCCCTGCTCCCGACCCTTCACCTTAGGAAGAAACTGGGATTTTAGGAGAAAAAATGGCACATTAGAACACTTAAGTCACAAATCCCCATGCCTTTCAAAAAGTCAGTTGAAGATTTCTTAACTGGGGGAGCCATCATTTAACCGCTTCTGCCATACCACACATACTTTTTAATGACCAAATTAAACCTGCAGCACAAATTTGAGCTTTGAAGTTTCAGAAAAAGGATCCTTCCTTTGAGGCACTGATAAAAAAAGATGAAATGAAACTGTTCTTTGGTACAAATGGCGGCGCACGGCCCTTTGCCCACCCCGAACTGCCTTCACGTACAGCAGCTAATCATCCTCGCCTGCATGTTTCTAATCCATTTTCCAAGCCTGGTCGGGACTGCCCTCTGCCATCCCTATGAAAGCCCAGCAACAGTCACACGTGGAGAAGCGTCGTACTTACAATTTGGGGCTATATAAAGCGCTGTGTGTCTTATGCAAAAGTTTAGGCTTATTTTTGCTGTCCTTCCTGCTCAAGAGACACCACCACTCTGGGGACAGCTGCTGAAACTAGTGGGAAGCCACTCCTTCCCCTCGCCACCCGGGCCGCTAGTCTTTGCCTCAGCTGCAGTGGAGTTAGCAGACTTTGCAGCCTGGCACTTTTGCCTCTTTGGTCGAATGCAGCCCCAAGCCACTGAGCTGGTTTACCATTACCACTGAGTCTGGGATCGAGTGTGGAGACTTAATTTTCCACTTCTCGGGAGAAACCCGCCTGGACCTGAATGGGCACTGACGCACAGTGGCCCGGCTGGCCAGGAAGATTCTGGACGGGGCCAGAGCCCGGCAGCTGTGCATCTGGGTTTTTTAAGTGCTGCGTGCCGCCTGCTTGGATGGACTTCCGTTCCATTGCATCAGAGGCCCAGTAACCCGAGAGCACCGACCTCCGCAGGCCTCCGCATCAGAAGTCCCGGCGGGTCACGAGGGAAATTCTCCTGGCTGCTGCCAGTCGAACCTAACATGTGCTGTCGTCAGAGCCATCTCACTGTCCCACTTGGCCAAATGGGGGCTCTGGAGAATAAATGGAGGTCCGGGCCGTAAACTAAAGGTCACGTGCGAAGCCAGGATTTGGTTTTCCCAATGTTGTTCTGCTGACCTCTGTGCGCTACAGCAGGGACTGGGGAGGATGTGTTCCCCTGTGTTGTTTGGTTTTACTCTGACCGTTCTGTCGCAGCCTGCGTGCACTGCAAGGCGTCCACCGTCCTACGAAGGGTCTTTGCGTGGCCTGCGTGGCAGGGACACGGGAGGCGTGGCTTTGAAGGAGAGCCCATGCCTCAAGGTCACTCCAACTCCCTGGTGCCAGCCCTGGTTCGGGGGAAAGTGGCCCTCCCGGAGGTCTGCGCTGGTGCCCTCCGTGCGCTCGGGCACCTGGCTCCTATAATTGAAAGCCGGTGTGTGAAGCACAACACATCTGACCACTGTTAGCACCCGGGCTCCCGCAAGGCTGCCTCGAGCAGCTATGAGTTCCGCCCACAGCATGTGCAAGCTGGTGGAACGGGCACCCGCGCTGCATGCTGAAGGCCGCAGCTTTTGTTTCCTGCAAGTTCTGTCTATTTCAGAGGCTAACATGCAGCAATTAGTCTAATTAATGTGAAACAATGAGCTGTGTTACCACTTATCAAATTGATTGTTCCCCTATCAAAACAAAACAGGCTGGCTTTTTGATGTAATTTCAAGAGATGATTTGAAATGTCATGTTGCTGGGAGCCAATTACCGTGTGACTAGAGCCACGGTCAGCAGAATACATAACTAGCAAGAGCCTGGGAAGGCTGCTTACTGCTAGTATGTTAATTAACTGTCTTTTGTCATAAAACAAAAAGGTTGCACGGAAGGTTTTGAAATAGGTCTTTTTTATTTACCTTTCTTCGTGCTTATCAATGTGAGGCATGACAATGCAAAAGAAGAGAAAATTTTAATTCCACTACTTCAAATTAATATTCTGCCACAAGGACAGGCACCGTGTGCCCGCACGGTACCTCTCTCCACTTCCGCCCTGGCCCAGTGTGTGATATTACTTGTGGAGTCTGCTTCAGTCTCGAAACACAGAGAGAATAAACCTGTCATCAAACAATGCCTTTGCATTCGCCTTGGTGCGCCGAGAAGCAACGCTGTGGTCGCCTGCAGAAGCCAGTAGGCCACAGGCCTAGGCACCACCCTCCTCCCCAGCTACCTCTGGTGTGTGATGGCTGGGTGTGCACCTGCCTGCCTGCTTTCCTTCCTTTCTTCCTCCTCTTTCTGTCCCTTCCTCCTCTCCCTTCCTTCCTCCTGTCCTCCCTCCCTCCCGTCAGTCCATCCCTCTGTCCTTCCTTCCTTCCTTCCCAAGGAACCAATTCCAGTGGTGTCCTGAGTCCCAGTGCATGCGTAGAGGACAGCTACAATCAGTAAGTGACAATTGACCACCAGGTATGCGTGGCCTTGAGCCATGTAGGGGACATTCACTTGTAGGGGACTTGAGGCTCACTTAGAGAATGCAGTCGACATTTTCCACGTCCTAAAATCACTGTTCACTGACATTGTTTATTTGTTTTTTTGAGACAGGGTCTTGCTCTGCAGCTCAGCCTTGAGCTCTCTGGGCAGCCCCATCTGACCTCACACTTGCAGCCGGCCTCTAGCCTCAGCTTCATGGCCAGAGCGCTGGCCCACTGACTACTGAACCGCTCACTCCATTTCCCTGCCAGGCAGGTAGGGATGGGACATGCTGCCCCGCTGGGGGCGCTCAGCAGCCTCTCTCTTCCATGTATGCTCTCCTCTGGCCCAGGTCTTCCTTCATTCTGGGAAGGATCCCCGGATGTAGAGAGCCCCACGGGCCGTGCCACTCAGAGTACCAAAGGAGGTTTCCAAATGGGGTTTCTCGCCTTTGCTTCCTTTCGTCAATAAAACTTTTAAAATCACTAAAGATACTGAAAATATGAAAAGCACTAAGCAGATGAGCTGCAGAGCTTTTCCTCCTGGAGAACCCATCTGAGGGACATGGGATACAGAAACTCGGGACCCAGTGATCTGACGGGAGGCAGGTCTCGATGTGCAGCTGGGAAGGCAGTGCCATGTCCACGGGGGGCGGGCAGTGGCTCCTCCTAGTGCAGTCTGCCAGCCCCCGTGACTCTGGCTTCTGAGAGAGACAGGTGGGGGAGGGGAGATGGGGATGCGGCCAGGCTGCAGGGTCCTGTGAGGTGGCTCTTGGCGATCATCTCTTGGAGCTTTGGGGACACAGCCTCAGCCGCTGGCAGGTGAGAGAGTGAGGAGCCCCCGGCCTGTGGCAGCACTGTGGCTCTGGCGCCCCAAGCTCTGGGCCTGGGCTCTCAGGAGGGTGGGACAAGACCGCGGCCAAAGCAGGGTCCTGCGCAGACAGAGACCGCGATGAAACCACATTAGAAGTGTCAAGGACTCTAAATTGGACGCTAAGACTCGGGCATTTGTGACAGCCAAGCACACCGGGACACTACCAGTCACATCTTCTCCTCCTGAGCCAGGCCCGCTGTCTGGAGGTGCAGGTCTGTTGACCCCAGGACAGGTGTTTCTCTTCCTTAGGTAAACCTCCTCCTCGGAATGCTTTTCTGAGGCTTCAAGGGAACCCGGGGCTGCTGCAGCGAAGCAGGAGCAAGGGGGTGGGGGCAGGGCCAGGTGCCCGGGCAGGCTGGGACACCAGGTCTGTTCCTCCCACGACTCATCGACTCATCAGAGTCGCAGCAAAGCTCAGGCTTTCTGGACCTTGCCATCAACTGGCTGGCCTTGCTCAGGGTGAAGAGGGTGTTGGCCATTCCCAGAGAGCCCCTGAGTGCTGGGGGGGCGTGCTGGGGGGCGGCCCATCACAGGCTCCAGCTCTGTCCACAGTAACCCCTTGGTCCCCTCTCCTCCACTCTGAGTCCTGCGTGCACCAACAGGGCTCTGCACCTGGTCCCCTAGGCCTGGAGGAGCTGGGAAGAAGACAGGGCGGGGACACAGAGCATTGGCCAGGGGACATGGGACGCCACATGTCCCGGGGCTCCTAGGTAACACCCACCCTCTCCTTTCTCCTCCACCCTTCTCTCCCTGCTCCTCTCCCTCCTTCCCTTCTTCAGCCTCCCACAGCCTAAGCAGATGCTCCCAGCCCAGCTCCACTCCCAGCCCGCCCCACTCACTGGCAAACTCCAGCGCCCTCCTCTCTCTGTGCAGCTACAGTGCCCACAGTTGCTCTGGTGTCCTCGGGATTGAGTCCATGTCCCCTGTGGATAGCGAAAGGTGCGGATGCTCTAATCCTTTCCATAAAATGACGTCGTACTGCACAACTGCCTGTGCATGGCCTCCTCTGCACTTCATCCTGCTGCCTAGCTTTGCAGAGCTGGGACTGAACCCAAGGCCTCGTGCACACTGGGCAGGAGTCTATGAAGGAGGCCCATCTGCAGCATTTGCATTCTTTAAATTATCTCCAAATCAAATTATTAGTTAGAATAACTAATACGATGCAAACACTACATAAATAGTTGTTATACTGTATTGTACAGGGAACAACAAAGAGAGAGAGATGTACACATTCAGTACAGATGCAATATTTTGTGAGTAATTTTGTCCGCAGTTGTTCAAATCCACATATGTAGAATTTATGGACAAGCACGCAGGCACACACATGTAGACACCCACTGTTTCTCTTTAAAAATTAGCCTTTCATTCCAAAAACCATAATACTTAGAAAAAGACAAATGGTGGCATTGACCCTGTTTTGAAAGGCAAGAACAAATTTCAGAAACAGGACAGAATAAAAATGAGCAAACTCCTGGCTTAGTGCAGGCGTTGGCACAGATATGAAGAACTTGAACTCTACAAAGCTTTCTTTCCTAAATAGAAGTCTCTGGTTGCTCTTGAGGAGGTGTTTGGTATGGGAGAAGATGGAGCCTATCAAACAAAATGAAATAATATAAATATTTCATTTAGTCGTTATCATCTCTTTATGATGATGAGAAGACATTATTATCATATTTTTTTATTCTAACTCATAAAAAATGGTCAATCTTCCACATTTGTAATGGGCTACAGCACATGGATCTTAGTTTGGCATAAAGCTCACACAAGCCACTCAATATTTTCAATATAAATGTAATGACTTCTGATTTTAGGGGAAAATAACAATGCTCGGGGAAAAAAAATCACTAGTTAACTCTAACCTCTCCTATTGGTCATTGATGTAAGCATGGGCACTTGCAAAAATATAAACTTTCTGCATATTCATTACGAAGACGGCGGATGGTAATCGGTGAGCAGGACAGTGAATTTCTTGAGGATTAGGCTCCGATTGGTTGAATTTCAACATCAGCGCAGCCGTTTGGCCATTAAGTCAGCAGAAGTGAGTTCTTCATGCTGCGCCCCTCACCGCTGGAGAGCACGGGACAGAGGAAAAGGAACGCGCTAGAATAAATTGTGCATTATTTCTGGTATTAGTTAAAGGAACAGAGCATTATAAGAGAAAAAAATACAGTACCATTGATTTTTACAGGTGTTTAATACAGATAAGCTGAAAAAAGGGTTTCCATTTGAAGCCCAGTGATGGTTAAAGATGCATTCAACTATGTTCAAAAGCAATCTAAAGTCTTCTAAGATGGTGTTTAAGCCATTCGAGCAAAATGTAAATAGTTTTTTGTGGGAGTACTGAGGAATGTAGAACAAAAGTGTCCCAGGAGCTGACTGCGGCGCCCTGCCGGCCCCTATCACATGGAGGGGGTCATTAAGACAAGGTAACACTGTTTCTCCATAATACCTCCACAGGCACCTCAGAGGAAGTGCGCCTGTCCTCAGAAAGGCCAGGAGGCACCAGCACCCC